TTTGAAGCGTCATTTGTTGGTCATTGGGGGTAACATACAGAGTATGGGGGGGGATGTTAGTATTTTGGGGTTGGGCAGCACACATAATACATACAGACTGCAATGTCCCCAATGGGGGGGTAGACGGTGGGCGGGATCAAGATACAGTTGACAAGCGGTGAGGGTCAATCACTCATACAGGGAGTACAGACGGTCGTGGGCATAAGTAAGTGGACTGGGTAATGGGGATGGGGCAACCCTCACGTGGTGGGATTCAGGGTAAACGAGCCTGTTGGGGAGGGGATCCTTAATAAAGATATCTCCTGTCCCAAGTTTTCTGGTAACAGTTTGTGGTGACCGCAGCTGTACCCTTGACTGCCGTCCCTTGAATTGTAGTGATTTTTATGTTATTTATGTTTTATTATAATCGGCTCAGTTAAAGGTTTATTTAAGGTCCACAGACCTTGAGTGAAAGCACTGGCAGCTGGTCAGTGGCTTACTTGTGTGGGACCCAAACTAATTGAAGGAGCAGACACCAAGTTGCTGACAAGCGCTGCTTGTTACAGCAGGCATTAGATTGGGGTGTACTGCTTGAACTTTGAGTAGCTGTGTGTGGCAGGCCAGCATAGATTGCTGAGTACTGCTGAGCTCTGACTTAAGAAGTCTGGTGACCATTGCGGTTGAGTGCCATACAAGCAGTTGTGTCTGTGTGGATCAGACATTTACTGTTTAAAAACAAGCAACCAAATCTTTGGCATACACGGATGGAATAAGGAGACAAATCAAAATTCTCGGGAGTACAGTGTCAATTTATTTGGAAAATGTAAAAATCCTTGGGAAGATTTATTTGTGGGGGAGAATGCTTTTGAAAAGTTATGTGAAAAGTGGGAAAGCTTTGTTACTTTCAAACCGACCGCAAATGAGAAACTAAAGAAAAGAGCCTTAATCTATGTTTTGGTAATGGTGGCAAGGGAACTAAATGAGCACATTAAAAATTAAAAAAAAGTAATATCTCAGGTTAGAAAGCAGGTGGTAAAAAGGGAAGCTGAAATGGAAAAGTTAATGGTTCAAAATAGTACTTTGTCAGCTCAAGTGCTTAACCAATCAATACAAAATAACCAATCAAAACAACGGGTAGAAGAATTAAATGCATCCCTTGTGAAAAAGGATAAAGAAAAGTTTGTATTGGCTAAAAAGGTAGAGGAATCACAGGCTGCTATAAGGGAGTTGGTTAAAGAGGTTAGAAGCGCACAAGAGGGTGTCTAGAATCACTCCTCTTGTAATAGTAAAATCAACAGCTTGAGGGATAAATTAAGAAAAGCACAAGGAGTCATAGCTGCCCTAAATATGGATCCTTTAAAAGGATATAGATCTGAAGACTCCGATTCAGAAAAGTAGGAGTCTGATGGTGACTTAAATTAATGTGAAGGAAGCAAAAGTAGCAAGGACTCAACCCTCTGCTCCACAAGCCTTAGAGGAGCTGGAAAGTTCTAATGAAGTGTAGGAGGGGAAAAGATACCCCCTGATAGCACCTATTGCCACAAGCATGATAAATTATGGTCCCAATTGGCCAATTGAGACATGATATGCGACAAGATCAAGCAAGGACAATGGGAAAGACACTAGGTCCGCTTAATAAAGAAACTGCTCTGGACTGGTTGTCAAAGATCAGCAATATGGCCATCATCAGTAAAGAAGATATGGCTGCCTTATTACGGGAATGCATGAATGGTGAGGAATTTAGTGCCTTACCTGGGGAAATCTAGTTGGCAAACATTAAAGACATTGCAGAAATTTATGAAGCTGTGTTTAGGTTCTACTTCCCACATAAAAATACCGTAGGGAAGTTTTACTCAGACAGACAAAACGTAGGTGAGAGACCTGAAAGGTTTTTAAGCAGAAAACGATCTTGTATTGGCTAGCAGGAATGTCACCTATTGTTAATGGAATAGCAACCTACGAGACACCAGAATTCAAGGAGGCATTTAGTCAAGGGCTCACGGCTATGTTGAAAGTAACGCTGGGTCCAATCAATCCAAGAACGGTGACCAGATCTAGATCAAAGAACTAGAAGATAAAATAAGGAAGGCTTTCGAGCTTCAATGAGAAGCTTTTCCCAGTTACTAGCAAAAGAAGAAGATAGCTGCTGTGAAGTACACAAGTAATAGAGCCAGTGAGCAAAAGGGGAAGAAGTACAATTTTGATGGCAAAAATTTTACACCAAAGGAGAAGAATGTCTCCAACCATGTTGATCCAGTCAGAAACCAGAAATATCATCATAACTCTGCTGACATGAAAGGATTTAAAGCAGTGCTGTGGAAGCGATTATTAAAGTATGAGAAAAAGGATCAGATCAACTGACTTCCAAGCCAGGAGTTATTTCGAAGATTGGCAAGATATGAAGGTAATAATTTGTCAGCTGCAACTGCACCCAAGCACCTAGAAATGCAGGAGTAGAAGGAAAATTTATTGTGGTGGGGCCAATCCCTTCCAACCTTTCCCCATGTGGCGCCTATTGACAACAATGCATGGGGAAGACCAGTGGTGGATGCCACCTTACAGGGAGAGTTTGGTAAATTTAGACAGACAATGCTCATTGATACAGGTGCCACATTGTCTCTTATTTGCACTAAAGCAGTCCCAAAGATCAAAGAGTTTCGAGTGCAAGAAGTAAAAATTTTAGAAGGATATAATGGAAAAGAAAGTGCTGTTCCCTTCTTAAGACCTATTGTGTGCAAGATTGGAAAAACTAGCCACTGAAGCTATATTTGGTATTCAGGTTCTGGATGGACACGGTATCATTAGTATTGACATTCTAAAGAATCTTAATTTACTGAATAGGGCATTGACTCAGGATACAGCTAGTGAAGGAGGTTTTACTGTTCCAACATCACGCAGGGTCGCAGCAGTGAAAGCTCCAGAAAAGCTTGAAATGCCCAATTGGGAAGAAATGGTTTCACAAATAGCAGAACAATATCTTAAGTCTTTTGCTACTAACAAGCTTCAGTGTGGAAAGATCAATGCAGAAGTGATAGTTATAGGTCCAGATCCTCAAAAGCAATACAAATATTCTCGAGAGGCTGAGGCGGGGATTAAAGAAACCATCAACGCTCTTGTAAACCAATGAGTGTTAATTGAGACTGCAAGTGTGTGCAACTCTCCAATTTGGCCGGTATTAAAAGTGGATAAGAAGACATGGAGATTGACAGTTTATTACAGGGAATTGAATAGGATAACACCTAGGCTAGCACCTGTGGTAGCAAAGTTTCATGGAAATCATGGCTGCCATAGCTGCAGGAGCCCAGTGGTTCACTGTATTGGGTTTATTAAACACCTTCTTTTACATCCCGTTGCATCCAAGTGTGTGGTACAAATTCTCTTTCACATTTAGAAATCAACACTTTACATTCAGTAGGGTACCACAAGGAAAGTGTGGGCCCCTTACTGAATGAGGGAGGCAACCTAGTGACAGAGGATGTGGAAAAAGCTAATGTACTCAACGCTTTTTTTGCCTCTGTCTTCACAAACAAGGTCAGCTCCCAGACTGCTGGACTGGGCAGCACAGTATGGGGAGGAGGTGACCAGCCCTCCTTGGAGAAAGAAGTGGTTCAGGACTATTTAGAAAAACTGGATGAGCACAAATCCATGGGGCCGGATGC